TCAGTGAAAGTTTCAGTTCTCTATCTATAATAGAAAAAAAGTTATGACCTCCCAAAGTTTTCGAAAATCTAAATCATAAGGTAGGTACCTTCTTACTAAAATGATGAAATTTCAGATCTTTTTTTGTTGAGATTTTTTATCCTAATGGTCAATTACCATCCCCCAAACTCCATACACTAAATTATTCTCAGATTTGAAGCCGAAATCTATGAAAAAAGCACTCAGAAAAAGTGAAAAATTGATAAATTACCCCAAATTGCTCAACACGATTTTATCTCAGGAACTATGAGTGCAAATGAGCTGAAAATTTCTGGGATTGTAGTCCCTTGATTGGGACAAAATTCAGTGAAAGTTTCAGCTTTCTATCTGTAATAGAAAAAAAGTTATGACCTTCTTACCATAACGATGAAATTTCAAATTTTTTTTTGTCGTGATTTTCTATCATGATGGTCAATCAACATACCCCAAACTCCATACACTAAATTATTCTCAGATTTGAAGCCGAAATCTATGAGAAAAGGCAGTCAGAAAAATTGAAAAATTGATAAATCACCCCAAATTGCTTAACACGATTTTATCTCAGGAACTACAAGTGCAAATGAGCTGAAATTTTCAGGGATTGTAATCCCTTGATTGGGTTAAAATTCAGTGAAAGTTTCAGCTTTCTATCTATAAAAGAAATAAAGTTATGTCCTCTCAAAGTTTTCGAAAATCTAAATCATAAGGTACGTACCTTACCGAGCAGAGGGAATCAGATCGGCGCGCGATGTTGCCTCCGCTTCTTTACTTTCCCGAGAAAAATATAGTAACTTCGTTACAATGTATAGCCTAAGTTGGAATAGTTTTTTGTCTCAAATACTCAAGATCCTTGTTCAACAAATTCAAACCCTCAGATCTGTTGTATTTGAAAAAGAATCATGTGGGCTGAATTTGATATTCATGCTGTTCGTTTTTAGAAGCTGATAAGTGCTGAAATTTATTAGGCAGAAAATCCCGTCTGTTATTTCTGTCTGTTATTTATAGTCCAGGAGCTGGCGTCGAAAATATGCAAGAGTTTTCGCAAGGCTCATATTTTCAGAATGAGTAGTATTTTAGTGCTACAAAGCTAGGCTACAGTCAGCAGTTCCAGTTCCGGGACACCTGGCGCTGAGATGCGCGCAAAGGTGTATTTTTAATCAACACCTCGCAACAGTTTTCGCAAAGCTGAAAATTTGCAAAGAGCATGCGAATATAATGTAGAACCATAATTTAACAGTCAGACAAAGAAATACGGGGACACGTAGAGTCAGCGCGACTTTGAAGTGGTCAAAAAAATGACGTCACCGAAAGTGTTTTCGCATGGCTGAAATTTGGCAAGGTTATAGTAAAAACAATATATTTATTGAAAAAAACAGTCAGACACTTCTATGTCGGCACCCCGCCAATCAGCAGTCGATTAAAGTGATATAGGTGGTAGCGCGCGTCAATAGGCATATAACCATGTCGAATAATAATTTCACCAAAAGTGTTTTCGCATAGCTGAAATTTGGCAAGGTAATAGTAAAAACGATATATTTATTGAAAAAAACAGTCAGACACTTCTATGTCGGGACCCCGCCAGTCAGCAGTCGATTAGAGTGATATAGGTGGTAGCGCGCGTCAATAGGCATATATCCATGTCGAATAATAATTTCACCAAAAGTGTTTTCGCATAGCTGAAATTTGGCAAGGTAATAGTAAAAACAATATATTTATTGAAAAAAACAGTCAGACACTTCAATGTCGGGATTCCCTCAGTCAGCAGTCGATTAAAGTGATATAGGTGGTAGCGCGCGTCAATAGACTTTTACTCTATATCAGAGCTGGGCAGGGCTTGAGTGCTTTGTGCTTGCGAAAGTGCTTGAAGCACTTTGAGGGCTTGAAAGCCCTGTGCTTCAAGCCCTTTTATAGATTTGTAATTGGGGCTTGCAAAGTCAATTACTTTAGAAAAGTGCTTGGTAATTTGTAATTGAAAAAAGTAATTCAAGCCCTTTCAATGAGCTTCAATTACTTTAAGAGGGCTTGAAGCACTTTTGGGAGCTTGAAGCACTTTGAAAGGGCTTGAAGCACTTTAAAAGGGCTTGAAGCACTTTAAAAGGGCTTGAAGCACTTTGAAAGGAATTTGAATTGACCATCATTCAACCTCCCACTTAAAAATTTTCGATCGTGTTTTGTCCCTTAATTTTTTTTTCTTTTATTTGAACTTGAACCGTCTTATGTCTTTTCTCTCTTAACAATGGAGGTTTTGGGTTCGAGCTTAGAACGGAATTTAAAAAAAAAATGAATGAACTTATTATTAAAATAAATAATTAATTTATATTTAACTTTATCACTGGATTTTTTCCACTTTTCCCCATTGAACATTTTGAAAACCTTAAAACTGAAGTACCATGTAGTACCCCAAGTACCTACCCCAGAACTACATCTCAAAAAAAAACATACTACTGCTACTCTGTGAAATGTAAAGTTCGTCTCTACTATACCAATTCTGTGTGATGAGTTTACGCGGTAGCTTATGCTACTTTGAGAATTTTATTACAAATTCAAAGTGCTTTAGGCACATTTAAAGAGCTTCAAGTACATTTAAAGAGCTTGAAGCCCTTTTCAAGGCACCTCAAGCACTTTTGATGTGCTTCAAGCACTTTTCAAATCACTTTGAGGGCTTTGTGCTTGTCAAGCCCAAAGCACTTTGAGGGCTTTGTGCTTGTGAAGCACTTTTAAAAATAAAAAGGAATTTGTGCTTGAAATTGAAGCACTTTGATAGAGGGCTTAGGGCTTAGTGCTTCAAGCCCTTTTACTGAGGGCTTTGCCCAGCTCTGCTCTATATATATCCATTTCGATGAATAATTTTATTTCTATAATTTAAATTATTTGGAATCGGAAACGGTAAAATACATTTTTTTTCTCTTAATGAGTAAGTGTAAACCTGTAAGTTGCAAGCGTAAGCGCGTATACTTGAATAAGGCGTATATGCATTCGAATTCGGAAACTTCATTATGGTACTGTTAGGTCGAGATTAGGGGATGGGAAGCGGCAGATGTGATTAGAATTTTTTTTTTTTGTATTTTATAAAATCGGCGACGATTATAAGTATTTAATGAAACTTACTATAGGTATACTATCACAGTACTGCTGATTAAATGGTCAAGTAATATTTATACGAATCGGGCTTTTTTCTAACCGCAAACTTTTGAACTGCATGTACAATTTTATTTTACCGTTTCCGATTCCAAATAATTTAAATTATAAAAATAAAATTATTCATCGAAATGGATATTATATATAGAGTAAAATTCTATTCTATTCTATTCATTTTAATCGACTGCTGACTGAGGGAGTCCCGACATAGAAGTGTCTGACTGTTTTTTTCAATAAATATATTGTTTTTACTATTACCTTGCCAAATTTCAGCTATGCGAAAACACTTTTGGTGAAATTATTATTCGACATGGATATATGCCTATTGACGCGCGCTACCACCTATATTACTTTAATCGACTGCTGACTGAGGGAGTCCCGACATAGAAGTGTCTGACTGTTTTTTTCAATAAATATATTGTTTTTACTATTACCTTGCAAAATTTCAGCTATGCGAAAACACTTTTGGTGAAATTATTATTCGACATGGATATATGCCTATTGACGCGCGCTACCACCTATATCACTTTAATCGACTGCTGACTGAGGGAGTCCCGACATAGAAGTGTCTGACTGTTTTTTTCAATAGATATATTGTTTTTACTATTACCATGCCAAATTTCAGCTATGCGAAAACACTTTTGGTGAAATTATTATTCGACATGGATATATGCCTATTGACGCGCGCTACCACCTATATCACTCTAATCGACTGCTGACTGGCGGGGTCCCGACATAGAAGTGTCTGACTGTTCTTTTCAATAAATATATTGTTTTTACTATTACCTTGCCAAATTTCAGCCATGCGAAAACACTTTCGGTGACGTCATTTTTTTGACCACTTCAAAGTCGCGCTGACTCTACGTGTCCCCGTATTTCTTTGTCTGACTGTTAAATTATGGTTCTACATTATATTCGCATGCTCTTTGCAAATTTTCAGCTTTGCGAAAACTGTTGCGAGGTGTTGAATAAAAATACACCTTTGCGCGCATCTCAGCGCCAGGTGTCCCGGAACTGGAACTGCTGACTGTAGCCTAGCTTTGTAGTACTAAAATGCTACTCATTCTGAAAATATGAGCCTTGCGAAAACTCTTGCATATTTTCGACGCCAGCTCCCCGACTATTATTATTTCATAATACATAATATAGCATTTTATTAATAAATTTAATTAAATATTCATAACACATAGAAATAGTATTACATAATTGTATCTCAATTCAAAAGAAGCTCAACTGAAATATTTGATAAATATTGGTCTTCCCATCATTGTTAAAAGTCAGAAACAACTCAAATACCTAAACAACAAAAATATAGGTTTTTGGTAGTATATTTTGAGTTGCACCTTTTTTGAATTGAGAAAGCGTTTTGGGTTCAATTTTTTTTTTTGTACAAATTTTAGCTTGTGTTTTGTATTGAAGAAAACCGTTTTGGGATTTATTGTTACCATATTGGCACAGTTTTATTTACATTTTTTTGGGAATTATGTTGTTTGCCAGTAGAATAAAGATTGTATTATTTTGCATGATCATAAGCGTTAATGGCTGTGGTTCTTTGGCACTCCACAATGTTCTCATTTTTGTTATTTTGATAATAATGGTGATTCATAATGGGTTTGCTTCCATTGGCTTATACAATCTAAAGATAAAGTTAACTGATGTTGCACAAAATGAAAGAAAACTTAGAATTTATAAGCTATTAAAAGCAAAATCACTTTAATGAAACCAAAAAAAATCCAATTTATTTAACCCTTCCACAAGCACCAGATTCTCCAATTTTATTGATACTTGATTAACATAATTTCCTCGGTTTCGGGCACCAAAAATACTGTTGAACTAACTTTCAGGGCAGAGGTAATTTACTAAAAACGCCCCCTACAAACGACGCTGCCGCCGAGTCGTCGAAAGACTTGGCGGCAACCGGACCCAAAGAAAAATCACCATCAAGCCCTTCTTCTTCTTGTTCTTCTTCCTCATCCGTCCCGCCCCAAGCGCCAAAGCCACAGAGGCCCTTTACCTTGCAGGTATTAAGTTTTTTTTTTTTAAATTGAATTCCTATTGCTTCTGGCATTGTTGTCTGAAACAAACCTATTTTTGCTCGCTTGTTGTTCAGAGATATTTCTATTTTGGATTAGTAGAGCCTGGACATTTTCCACTATTTTGATCACAGTGCCTGGCTCTGCTTCCAATAGTGATATCTTTGGTATGCTATAGAACATTTTGTGTCAGTGCTTGCATATAAAACTTAAATTTGATTTTGTTAGTTTTTGTAAAACTTTTGCTTAGACCAGTGTTGTAATACTTAGAAAACTTCCCAATTATGCCTGATAGCTTGTACATAATTATTTATACTTAACTCTTACTAATTTAACTCTGATACCACTGCAGTTTAAGTACAGCGTTCATTCTTATCTATTTAATCCAATATCATCAATTTTATTAGGAAATTACTGACGACGCTTCAAATGTAGAAAAAAAATGGTTCGACAATAGTACGCCCTTCATAGAAACACGTAGAACTCCGGATTTAGAAAATATGGACTTGGAACAATATCAACAATCGCTATCTCAGTAAGCAATTATTTATAAAAATATTTCTATAATAATTATTACATGTATCTGTATGTTTTCCCAGAATGACCACCAATCTCTCAGACATCCAGTCAGACATTCAACGGTTGGCAGCTCAACAAAACCAAATGCAAACGCAAAAATTGATTGAAGAACAACAACGCCAAATTCTACAGTTACAGCAACAGCAGCAGTATCAGACGATGACCAGGCAGCAATCGCAACCACCTCCGCAAACTCAATATTATCAACCGCAAAGATATCAGTCGCCACAACAAAGTAAGAACTGACTTATTTGTAATACAAGTCTAGTATTACTACTACAAAACAATTTTTTTCCCAGATTATTACCCATCTCCGCTCCAATCTTCGACCAGTGCACCTCACATCCCACAATCGCTCTACTCGCAATCCAGAGGGCCGGAGCAGCCCCAGTTCTTTCTGCACGAAAACGGTCCGCCGCCAACAACACCTCCAAGAAGAACCTGGGGTCAGCCTCAGCAAGCTCCTCCCACTATGATGGGGGATTCTTATGCGCCCCAACAGCCTGAATTGAGAACCTGGGCCAAACCGCAACCTGTTCAACCTCCTCAAGATGGTCCTGGGGGCGGGTTCGTGTTACATCATACACCGGATAGGTATAAGTGTTTAGTTTTTTTTTTTAATTAAAATATTAATTTTTGTTGTTCAGGTTTGCAGATAGACATGAACGCTTCCAGGAAGCTCCTCCTATAAGACACACTGATAATAGATACCAAAATGGCGATCCAGAAAGGCAGCTAAATCATTCGAATAGTTTTACATTGAGCCAGAGGCATCTTGAACAGGTTCGAAACCTCTATTTTAAGTAAATTTTATTTATATTATAAAACACATTGTAGGCCCAATATGGTACTACCCATAGTACACCGTCCGCATCTCCTCAGCATCGCAACGTTCACCGACAAATATCGCAACTTTTGGACGACGCGACGACCAAACGTCAAACGTCGCCTGTCAGTTTGCACGCCTTGGACGCCAGCCCGGCGCCGCGCGAACGTAAAATCAGCGTCACGCACGCGCCGGTGGCGGCACCTCCCGCGGACGATATGGAGCCGCAAAATATCTCGTTTATAGGCAACAACGAGGACGCGGCTCTTACCGAAAGTCTCAGTAAATTGAATATCACCTCTGGAAGTAGGACGTATAGGATTCCGTCGCCGACGCGTCCTTTGTTGATTTCCAGAGGATCTCCGTTTCAACCGTCCCCGTCGCCTCCTGTTGTCGAGGCTCCGCTTTCGGCTCAGGTGAGCAGTTTAGATGGAGATCCAACTGCTGAAAAAGGTCAGTAATTTTAATAAGGTATGATCTTGTGTTAGATGACTGAGTCTTATAATTCATAAGTCTTCAAAAGTAGACAAATTTTATATGTGATAATAGTGGTGCTTCTTACAACCTAAAATTGATTTAATTGTAACTCTTCATAAGCGATTATCAATAGCAGTTTTCAACACTTATTGGGGGGTTACAGGGGTGAATTTAATAATAGAGTTACTTTTTTTGTTTGAAAAATTAGCATTGTATCCTTGTCTAAAAGGGTTTAGGGGTGGAATTTTCACTAATTATAATTATTTATTTTCAACATTTACAATCTCGTATTTTCTTGTAGGGTTTTATATAACTTTCGACGACGAACAACCGAAACGGCCTAAACCAGCACTGAGGAGTAAAAGAAATTCACCCAAAAAAGAAAGAAGCTATGTTGAAACTCCAGATGAGGCGATGGAAAGGCGGGAGGCGCAAACATGGTAATTTTCAATTATTTTTTATGTTTCCTATTTAAATACATATTTTACTTTAGGCTGGACAAGAAAAAACAACTAGAAAGAGAATTGGCAGAGGAAAGAATAAGAAAAGAAGAGCGCGATTTCCTCATTCAGCAAGAAAGAGATAGGTTGAGGTCGAAACGTGAAACTAGTCAAGAAAGGCAAAGAGTGGCAGCTAGTGCTTTAGTTATAGGGGAACAGAATGATACTGATCCAGTAAGTTTAATATTTTTTTTTACACCAAAACAACAATCTATACTCTGTTTAACGAACCTGGCGGAGCTTGTCGGCCTGGTCTAGACTGCCCAAATACCTGCAAATTTCACAATGTGAAATTACCAATGGCGTCGGTACCTATATAACCTCTAGAAGGTTAGGTAATTTGATTACTCCATAGATTCGTTGAACAGATTATAGGTTCAAATATTTTAATTTTAACTTTTGTATTGTTTGTTTCAGGATCTAGTCGATGAGAGGGAGCGTAAAAAAGAAAAGATAATGATGTTGTCGCTGCAAAGGAGACAGCAACAAGAAGAGGCCAAGGCTAAGAAAGAAGCGGAAGCTCAGAGGAGAAAAGAAATGGAAAAGGCTAAGGAGGAGGAGAAAGTGAGGAGAAAAGAGGAGCAGGCGGCTCGACGGGCAACTATTTTAGAACAATATAAACTTAAGAAGGCAATTGATGAGGCTGAGCGAGAGGTGAGTGATTTTTTAAAAAATTATTTACACTTTTGTGACACACTCTGTATACTTGTCACTAACATCATTGAAAACTTTCTGATATTACCTACAACTCTCATATTTTTGTGTATCTCTTTAAACAGGTTTCTTCAGATAGGTGAGGGTGCAAAATATAGACAATCACCCAGTACTCAGGGTAATATAGTCACTTTCTCTGCATATTCTTATCCTTGCAATAGCCTGTAGTGCATTCAGTGAGTCTAATCCTATGGCCAAGCCTTTGGTATGTACTCATATGTTTCTTACTTCTTCCCGAATAGCTAGCGTTTCTGCTATATTATCAAATCTTTTCAATATTGCTGGTGTTGGTTTTCTTTGCCAGTAAGGAGGGTCTTCATTATAGATTTAAGTAGAAGTTGAGTAATTGTCGTTCTATTTTATCATTGTTTGAGGCTATTATTTTAGACGAAAGTTTAGCAGCTAACCAAATCTTGCGAAGGTCTAGTGGCATATCCCCTGTTTCTGATAGCAAAACTCTGATAGGTGAGGATCTCATACACTCTGTAATTATACGTAAAGCCTGGTATTGAATGTTATTTATCTTATTCCAGTTGGCCTTTGATGTTTTAAAAATGCAAAATATATCATAGATGTGATAGAACAACTCCTTTATATATTATTAGTGATACTTTTGGATCTGATCCATTTATCTGTGTTGTCCATCTGAGTTGGCTGTCAAATATTATACCTAAATATTTATACTCCGTAACCCACTCTATTTCTTCATTATTAAGCTTGATTGTATTTTGCAGGTTTCTTGTTGGTCCTTTGGAAAATATCAAATTGAAATGTTAAGTCCGTAATGGTTAAGCCACATAGTGATTCTCGTGAACATGTTTTGTTATTTCTGGATACCTTCTGCTATGTTAGACGTTTGTATATCCTCATCTTCTGGAAAAAGATAATTTATTGAACACATGTATAGATTAAATAATACTGGGCTAAGTGGCGATCCCTGTAAGAGTCCCTTGTTTTTGTACCTAGATCTTATGACGTCTCCGGTATTTGGGAATTTAACATAAACAAGTCGGTTTGTGAGGATATTGTCAATAAATCTAATAATCCTTTTGTTAATATTCACTTATACTTTATTTTTTTCCAAGATAGATTTTGACATTGAAAACTTTGAAACATAAACAATAACGCTTGACCCTGATTGGTCGCAAAATGAGGTGTTGCTGCAGGTTGACATCAGTTTTACAGTAGCGGCCAATAAGTGGCATTAGCGGCATTGTTTATGTTTCAAAGTTGACAATGCCAAAATCTATCTTGGAAAAAAATAAAGTATAGTTTATGAAAATTGGGATGACAACATTATCATAAGCTGCTGATATAGCACAGTAAATAGAGACAAATAAATCGCATTTACTAAAAAAAAATACTTAATGGCTGAAATTTTGAGGGTGTGTTCGGGGGCATGTCCTGAGTCTAAAACTGAGTTTTCGTATTCGAGGGGGTGGGGGAAGATACTACCCCCTCTTTATGTAGGGTTGAGTTCGTTTTAATTTCTTATCTTCGGTTCTATTGCCCGTTGCCCGTACCGTCAAGTTCGAGAGATCAAATTTGTGGGAAATAAAATTATCCATCTATGATGACATGATAATAAAATCAAGGTCATAGGACGATTAGGTGAATCACAATGGCTGGTCAAAGGTGAAAAGTGGGGGGTGGTTTTTGATGGTTTTTCGTGAATACCGTGAAACCGGTAGGTTTTTTCGCATACTGCTTCGATACCATTTCGGAGTACTTGAAATTACCTACAAAATGAGTGCTCAAACACTCATCTACTGTGAATAGTTTGCCGTCAATCCAACGACCAAGTTGACCGCGCGCGCCGATGTTGTACTTCCCGATAAGCTAGAAAGTTGAAATTTTCAGGGGACTTAGAATTTTCAATTGTGTCGAGCCAAAACAAATTTCATTCCCCCGCCCCCCCAACCCTGGGAAACCCTGCGGGGGCTGTCAAAGTTTTGACTTTCGACCCCTGTACAGCCCAAACGGGTGGGGGGGGGGGGGAAATGAAATTTTCAGGGGAAGTAGAGAAAAAGTTCCTCTATGGAATGGATGGGGGGATGAATTTTTAAAAAATTTTGGAGGGGAGAAAAACATGAAAAACGCAATATTTCGAGAACTTTGCGATCTAAAAATGAGGTCCCAAGGGCTTTGGGCCGATTTAGATGAAATTTAAAATGTAGGTAAAAGGGGTCTAAAAAAGGTTTAATCTCAAGTTTCAGCTCTCTACGACATATAGGAAAGGTTTTAGCCCCTATCTCCCAATTTTGAGAAAGGGCGTAGAATGGGGTATACGCGTTTTGAATTTATTTTCACGAATTTTGAAAAGTTAAAATTTTAATCGGATAGAGGAGGTAAAAATACGTCGAAAATGTCTCTAGGCGTATTTTGCTCTGACGCTTCCTAAGCGCGCGCGGTCAACTTGGTCGTTGGATTGACGGCAAACTATTCACAGTAGATGAGTGTTTGAGCACTCATTTTGTAGGTTATTTCAAGTACTTCGGAATGGTATCGAAGCAGTACCTATGCGAAAAAACCTACCGGTTTCACGGTATTCACGAAAAACCAACAACTACCCCCCACTTTTGACCTTTGACCGGCCATTGTAATTCACCTGATCGTCCTATGACCTTGATTTTATCATCATTAGATAGATAATTTTATTTCCCACAAATTTGATCTCTCGAACTTGACGGTACGGGCAACGGGCAATAGAACCGAAGATAAGAAATTAAAACGAACTCAACCCTACATAAAGAGGGGGTAGTATCTTCCCCCACCCCCTCGAATACGAAAACTCAGTTTTAGACTCAGGACATGCCCTCGAACACACCCTCAAAATTTCAGCCATTAAGTATTTTTTTTTAGTAAAATATCCGTATTTACTGTACTAATATATCCAGAAAAATATCAATGACCTTATGTCCACTTGTGAATGCTTTATACAGGGTGTCCCAAAAAGATACCGACAAACTTTAGGGGGTAGTAGGGGACATCAAAACAAGCATTTTTGTTTATATAAACATATGTCCGCAAATGAGCCATTTGGGCTGTAGAGCAAAAAAACTGTTTTCATTCTTCGCAATAATTAAATCACTGTTTACTTATTAAATTTGCTTTATTAACAAATCAATTATGGTTTACAATAATTGTTCAAAATGTTGACCATTTACTTCAATGCCAAGATTGCACCGTCGGGTCATTGACTGAAAAGTTTAGTCTACGAAACACCTGTTCGTAATGAGGAAGATCTGTTAGCAAGGATACTGGCGAGTTGTACCCATGTAGAAGCTATTCCCGGAATATTCCAAAGGGTTCGCGAGTCAATGACCCGACGGTGCAATTTTTGCATTGAAGTAAATAGTCAACATTTTGAACAATTATTGTAAACCATAATTGATTTGTTAATAAACCAAAATTAAGAAGTAAACAGTGATTTGATTATTGCGAAGAATGAAAAGAGTTTTTTTGCTCTACAGCCCAAATGGCTCATTTGCGGACATATGTTTATATAAACAAAAATGCTTGTTTTGATGTCCCCTACTACCCCTTAAAGTTTGTCGGTATCTTTTTGGGACACCCTGTATATTGCCGTTGATAGGTATACTGCATTCTCAATAGTGCCTCATTCTTTGCTAAACCTATTTTCTAAACTATGAAACACATTCTGAGATTCTACAGTGTGATCTACTGTGTGTGTTTTTTTTTTTAAGATAAAAGTCAAAATGACATTATGTTGGCAATATAATGTAAAATTGTCAATGCTTTCAAATTTTTTATGTAGAAAAGGCTTGTGTTGCCAACATAGTTACTAAATTTTTGACTTGGGGAATTATCTCTAAAAAAAAAAACAAGCTTTAGCCTCATCTCAATGATTGATTCCATTAACTTTCTTACACAGGATGAGAGCGAGATTGATATTTTTCCATTCCTTAGGTATTTGCATTGTGTGAGAATTTTGTTAAATATGATCACTAATTTCTGTTTATGATCATCTGGTAAATTTTGCAACATCTTATTGGTCACATTGTCGATTCCAAGAGCTGACTATCTTTTATTTTGTAGTACAATTTCTAATTCCTGTGTTGTTATTGGTTCTATTAGATACACATCCTGTTCTTGCAAAAATTATTGTACTGGATTGTCTGTTTGTGTCATTTTTATTACCAAGTTATTTAATCAATTTTCTTTCTTTATCTATGTGGTTTTTTCATGTATGATCGGTCAAATCTCTTGACAGTTATTCATATGGTTGTGATTGACGTGCTGCGGTTCAAGTTGCCACAAAAGTCCTTGAATTCCAGTGTTTGTTTCTGACTCAAGAGTGTGCACCTTATCAGTCTGTACTCTACAAACTATTGGTAAATGATCACTGCTACTAAGATCTTTATGGACTTCATTCTAGTTCGGTTGCCGTACTGGTTGTTCCTTGTGGCTCCCCATGTTTCATGCTGAGTGTTTAAGTCTCCTGAAATAATTACATTGCCGTCATAAAGCCCTAACAAATCTGTAAAGTTTTGTATTGTTGGTATCACGTTCGGCGGGCAAGATACATTTATGATTTCGTGATTTGCTATTTCCACTGCTTGGATTTGAAAATGCTCATGTATGTTATTTATTATAAAATTGACAAAATCGTGGGTTGGGGAGTGGCAAATAACACAAATTTATTCTTTGCGACGTTTCGTAACTATATATTGTTACTTTTTCAAGCACTAAAATAAATGGAAACAAAGAACATGTCATACATAAATAAATTAACCATTACAACATCATACCTGAATAATTAGTGTTTCTGTGCACACATTAATGAACCATTTCCAGGGGTAATCCAGGAAGTTTTAAACATTTTCACACACGCAAGCTAGAACTTTTGTTTTTCTTTTTTTTTTTTGGTACGTATTGCTATCACGTTTATCACGGAACCACTAATCTGGCCTTGGTTCCGGTGGTACCTGCTAGGTACCTACCATATGAGCATAAAACATTTTTTGTGCAGCAACAATAACTTCTTTTAATTTTTAAGAGTCCTATAAACCGCTGATAAATTCCTGGTAATGTTGCTTATACTAAAAGGCACTATTGCTTATTAAGTGTGCACAGGCCCACCAACCACCATTGTTTAGTATTTATTGCTGGTTAAACATCACCAGGAATTTATCAGCGGTTTATAGGACTCTTAAAAATTAAAAGAAGTTATTGTTGCTGCACAAAAAATGTTTTATGCTCATATGGTAGGTACCTAGCAGGTACCACCGTAACCAAGGCCAGATTAGTGGTTCCGTGATAAACGTGATAGCAATACGTACCAAAAAAAAAAAAGAAAAACAAAAGTTCTAGCTTGCGTGTGTGAAAATGTTTAAAACTTCCTGGATTACCCATGGAAATGGTTTATTAATGTGTGCACAGAAACACTAATTATTCAGGTATGATGTTGTAATGGTTAATTTATTTATGTATGACATGTTCTTTGTTTCCATTTATTTTAGTGCTTGAAAAAGTAACAATATATAGTTACGAAACGTCGCAAAGAATAAATTTGTGTTATTTGCCACTCCCCAACCCACGATTTTGTCAA